TTAAATTCGTCCTTGAGTGAGTTTTACGTATGTTCCTTGACTAACGCACCTTCTTGGAAGGTGACCTTCAAACTTCTTGAATTGCGTAACTTAAATGCCTTCGCACATTCCCACATCATTTCTGCTTCTGCTCAGCGTATCCTATCTTTTCCTGCTTCAATTCGCACTTTCCCTTTCCTTTTCAGAGTTAATTTCATCGTTTCGGAGATCTTCTGGAAATTACGTGGAGAACATCTTGATCAGGCCAGGTAAACAATAACGTAATTTCTTTTCATAAATTTGTTACATACTTGTATTTATTGTCATTTAATTACTCACAGGTATAATTTAATACTACGTTGTAAAATTTTTGGAGTTGGAGATTGGATCATATCATAGTTCAGAGGCCTATTTGATTTTGATAACCCACTCCAACCATAGTTTTCATGGTATCACTAGAGATAATTTGCAGACTTTGATTTACATAAATAACAATAGTTCTCAAGTTTCAATTAGTGGAAAATAAATATCTTGGAAGGACCGATCACACAAGTTTCTTTTTCTTAATTTGATGAAGATGACCATTATTTCTTTTTTTTTTTTTTTTTTTTTTTTTTTTTTAACAGGTTGATTCTGCTATCTACCCTACCTATTTCTCTCACGCAGAAGCGAGGAAGTTTACTGGTTGTTAACTTGTCCGTACTTCTGTGTTTCTTTCTTCCTTTCTTTTATGGTCTAATTAAGATCTTCTAAGAGACATCAGCTTATCGGGGGGCCCCGTATGCAGTCTTTTTCTTTTGCCTGGTCTTATTTTGAAGTTATCTTGTTGCATTTCACGTATGTAATCATGCTTATTTATCCAAGCTTGTTATCTATTTTCTCTAAACAAAAGAATCTGTTCAAGTTCATGTCTTAACTTTAGTTTTTTTTTTTTTCCCTTCCCAATTAATTCAACTTTCATTTTTATTCGATATTTTGACAGTCTTTTTTATTTTTTTATATAGGGACACTAAAGAATAATAAGGAGGAAAATGGTTCTATCAGATGATGAATTCCGGGCTCTTGTTGAGGAGATGAATCATGTTGGTAAGAAGTGTAAGTTCTGTGGGCATCTGTTTGCTATTGGTACTTCAATTTCAAGGATCAAATGGCATTGGTCAGGGATTAAAGGGCATGGTGTTGCAATTTGTGGAGAAGTGTCTAAAGATGTTCAAGAAGCAGCCATTCTAGCTATGGAGGGTGTCAACAAAAAACATAAAAGCAGAGCTAATTGGTTAATGGAGGATGATGTAGATAACAAGACAGAAGGATTAGTGCAGCCTGTTGCAGAAGCTAGCTCTTCTGGAGGCCTTACTCCCAACACAAGTAAGACCATAGAAGATGCATTATCAGATGATGAATTCCGGGCTCATGTTGAGGAGATGAATGATGGTGGTAAGAAGAAGTGTAAGTTCTGTGGGCATCTGTTTGCGATTGGTACTTCAATTTCAAGGATCAAATGGCATTGGTCAGGGATTAAAGAGCATGGTGTTGCAATTTGTGGAGAAGTGCCTAAAGATGTTCAAGAAGCAGCCATTCTAGCTATGGAGGGTGTCAACAAAAAACATAAAAGCAGAGCTAATTGGTTAATGGAGGATGATGTAGATAACAAAACAGAAGGATTAGTGCAGCCTGTTGCAGAAGCTAGCTCTTCTGGAGGCCTTACTCCCAACACAAGTAAGACCATAGAAGATGCATTATCAGATGATGAATTCCGGGCTCATGTTGAGGAGATGAATGATGGTGGTAAGAAGAAGTGTAAGTTCTGTGGGCATCTGTTTGCGATTGGTACTTCAATTTCAAGGATCAAATGGCACTGGTCAGGAATTAAAGGGCATGGTGCTGCAATTTGTTTAGAAGTGCCTAAAAATGTTCAAGAAGCAGCCTTTGTAGCTATGGAGGGTGTCAACAAAAAACATAAAAGCCGAGCTAATTGGTTAATGGAGGATGATGTAGATAACAAGAAAGAAGGATTAGTGCAGCCTGTTGCAGAAGCTAGCTCTTCTGGAGGCCTTACTCCCAACACAAGTAAGATTGTAGAAGATGTTGAGCTAGTGGGTCAAGCATTTGAAGAGAATAAGAATGACATCTGGTCTTGGTTAATGAACGATGAAATCTTACGTATTGGCATTTATGGGATGGGAGGTGTGGGTAAGACATCACTGGTGAAACATATCTACCGTCAGCTTAGAAAAAAATCAGACAATTTTCATCATGTTTACTGGATCACTGTATCTCAAGATTTTAGCATTTATAAATTGCAGAATCTTATTGCAAAATGCCTTCGTTTACATCTTTCAAATGAAGACGATGAGATGCTAAGAGCTCAGGAACTCTCAGAAGCATTAGTTATGAAACAGCAGCCTTTCCTCATTTTGGATGATCTGTGGGACACTTTTGATCCAGAAAAGGTGGGAATTCCCATCCAAGAGAAGGGATGCAAGTTGATTCTTACAACTCGATCATTAAACATTTGTCGAAGGATGGGCTGCCTAAAAAAAATCAAAGTGGATCCTCTACCTTGGGAAGAAGCTTGGGCTTTGTTTCTGAAGAAAGTTAGGCATGATGTAGTACTTTCTCCAGCAGTTGAGCAAATTGCAAAATCTGTTACAAGGAAGTGTGCTGGTTTGCCTCTGGGAATTATTACAATGGCAGGAAGCATGAGGGGAGTGGATGACCTACATGAATGGAGGAATACATTGGAGAAATTGAAAGAATCAAAAGTTAGGGACATGGAAGATAAGGTATTCCAGTTATTGAGGTTTAGCTATGATCGTTTAGATGATTTAGCACTGCAACAATGTTTCTTATACTGTGCATTATTTCCAGAAGATTGTGGGATTAGTAGAGAGGACTTGATAGGTTATTTGATTGACGAGGGAATAATTGAAGGGATTAAGAGCTGGCAAGCTGATTTTGATGAGGGCCATACGATGCTCAATGAACTTGAAAATGTCTGTTTATTGGAAAGTTGTGATGATTGTAATGGTAATAGAGCTGTCAAGATGCATGGCTTGATTAGGGACTTGGCCCACCAAATACTGCAAATGAACTCTCCAATCATGGTTGGTGAAGAATTACGAGATGTGGATAAGCAGAAAGAGGATCTTGTAAGTGTGTCCTGGACAAGTGGTAAATTCAAAGAAATTCCTTCTAGCCGTTCACCAAGGTGTCCCAATCTTTCAACCTTATTGTTACCCTATAATCACACTTTGAGATTTATTGCAGATTCTTTTTTCAAGCAATTGAACAGGCTCAAGATTCTTGATCTGTCCAAGACAAACATTGAATTATTGCCGGATTCTGTCTCTGATTTGGTGAGTCTTAGTGCATTATTGCTCAAAGGTTGTGAGCAGTTAAGGCATGTGCCGTCATTAAAAAAGCTTAAGCTGCTGAAGAGGTTGGATCTCAGTGGTACTGTACTTGAAAACGTGCCTCAAGACATGAAATGCCTATCCAACCTCAGGTATCTTAAACTCAATGGATGTGGTCAAAAGGAGTTCCCTGCTGGAATATTACCTAAACTTTGTCGCCTACAAGTCTTTGTACTAGATGATTGGGTGAAGGGACAATATGCTCCAGTAACAGTTAAGGGAGAGGAAGTAGCATGCTTAAGGAAGTTGGAAACTTTGGAATGTCATTTTGAACTTTTCTCTGACTTAGTTTGGTATCTCAAATCTTGGGATCAGACCCTATCGCTAAGCACATTCAAATTTTTAGTAGGACAACGGAATAATGACGATTTAACTTTTTTGGAATTTTCTGGCATAAGTAAGATAGTTTGGTTGTGTAACTTCAATATCAACAGGAATCGAAATTTTCTTAAGTTCCCAAATGACATCCAGGAACTGGTGATTTTGAAATGCATTGATGCAGAAAGTCTATGCAATGTTTTATCATTACAGAATGCAACTGAACTGGAGAACATTGGAATTCAGCTGTGCGATGGAATGGAGAGCTTGCTTTCATCTTCTTGGTTCTCCTCTACTCCATTACCATTGCCATCTAATGGCATATTTTCTCATCTTAAAGACTTCTGTTGTTACGGGTGTGCAAGTATGAAGAAGTTGTTCCCTCTTGTCTTGCTGCCAAACCTTGTAAACCTCGAAGTGATTTCAGTCGAGAAGTGTGACAAAATGGAGGAGATAATATCAACAAGAGTAAACTGGGTTATAGGTGAAGAAAACAGCAGTAGCTGCCATTCCATTGAATTCAATCTCCCAAAGATAAGATGTTTGAGGTTGGTTCGTTTACCAGAACTGAAAAGCATATGTAGCGCAAAACTGATTTGCAGGTCTCTCCAAAAAATTGAAGTAAGAGACTGTCCGAAGCTAAAGAGGATACCGCTATGCCTTCCCGTGCTTCACAATGGCCAGCCATCTTCTCCCCCGTCTCTTGAAGTCGATGTACATCCGAAAGAATTGTGGAAGTCAGTGGAGTGGGACCATCCATATAAATAATTTTACAGTTCTTACGCATCTGAAAGTATGATGTAGACAATATGATTGTAAAATATATTTTGATTTGCTATCACTACAATTCCAATTTAGGATTTAGAAGATTCTTAAAATCACTCTTGATTGGTCATGTTTCTTAGCAAATCCCCATTTGATAGAGTAGAAAGAAGTGTTTGTCATTTTCTTTTCTGAGCTTGTTTCATTTGAAAAATAAATTTCTTGTGGGTGTGGCAAAAGTTGTCACTAATAACAGGTTTCCAAATGTTAGTTGGAGCCACTTGACCATAGCTAGGTCTGGTTCCCAAGTTGATCACTCCAACCTGCCATAGGTTGACTTTCTACAAATGTTCAGGATTGGCTTAACGACAAGGTTGTAGAAGCAATATATAGCAAACGGCTGACCATCTCTGTTAGCAACAACCCACAAGACCTATAAAACACTGGAAACATAAAGTTTAGATTTTGACGTAGTCGTAATTTACTTCTCTTCTTAACACCTCCTTGGAACTACCTGATCAATGACTTTCACCTTGCTCTTGAATTGATGGGGCCTTCTGCTGCTTTCTTGCGTTCCTGCAAGAACAGAACAGCATCGATCGACCTTGATTTAATGAAAGAGCTTATTTCCTCTGAAAATTAAAGATTTAAAGGAAAATGTGTACACCTAGTTGAATTCAGTCGTAGTTGGAACGTGAAACTTGGAAGTGTCAAGTTTTAGAAACTGATTTGAATGTAACCTGCAAATTAGTGCCTTGCACAGAGATAGCAAGGCGGTCTCGTTAGTCATTTAGCGAGTGGAGGTTAAGAAGGCAGCGTCTCTTGCAAGGCTTTAGAGGAGGAACACCCAAAAGGTCTACGAAATTTTGAGCTAAGTGTATAAGCTCGTACTGTCTTTTTATTATAATCTTTGTTGTTCATGCTATAAATATGAACGTCATTTCTTGTATTTATAGTTGATTTTAAAAAAACCTAATAAAAGCTATAAGTGCAGCCATGGAGTAAATACATTGTTGAACAATATAAATTTTATATCATGTGTGATTGTGATTATCTTTTTACTTTATATTTTGCTTGATTTTAGCAAATACCTGACGGTTGGATGGTTGTGAATATGGACCAAAAAATGAGTTCCATTATTTTGGCAAGTTAAACAAAAACTACGACTTGATAGGGAAAATCTCACAAGTCGAGCTCAATTCTGCCATAATTTGAATTTATGATGTTAGAGATTGTCCTGCTAGTTCCTAAATAATGATTTGTGTCCCAACTCTCCATTATTCAATTATTTTGGATAGTTGTAAGCTTTCACCATTTTTTTTATTTGAATACTTTCATTATAATCTGTTTGAAAATTATTGATATATTCGTTAACTAAACACGAGTATTGAAAAGTGGGCTCCAAGGCTGACACCTTATTTATGAGCTATGGATATAATGACTAAATTGGTGCCTATACTTACTAATATTTTCTATTTGAGTATTTTTTTTCTTGTTAAAAAATATTTTATTAGGTATGAATATTGCGACATGAGATCTAAAATTGTAATTAGAAATTTAAGCAATGGTTTGAATTTTTTTTAAAATGAAACTAAAATGCCATAAATTAATATCTCAACTGGCTTAGGAAATATTGCCAATGCTTGCAATTTATCCATTGTTAATTGCTGAAACTGAAATTTAGGAAATTCCACTACATATATTTTCTATTTCAATTAAAACTAAAATTTAGTTAATGTACACGATAACAAGGACTATTTTGATGTTTGGAATTGTTCATTTATTTATATATCTAATTTCCTCTATGATTGGAATCTTTTGTTCTGTCATATTTCTTTAGCAATTGCAAGCATGGGAAAAGTAATGGGATAATTGTATTATAAATTATACCAATTTTTATTTTTATTTTCAATTCAATAAATTAACTTTAAATTATATTATTATTATTATTATTTTGTGTGTCTGAGTTCATTAATCTTTCAAACTATCATCAAGTACTTTCAGAGAATATACACTGTACCATGCCTGGCCACGTGACAAGTAACTTTCCATCTTCCTCTTCAATCCAAATACCTCTGTTCACGTTCAACTTGTCACGGTAACTTTTCTTCATTATGCATGTCATAAGGCTAGGGTGTCACCTGCAGAAAGCATTTGGTATTGTATGTGTATATATATATATATAGTAGACTTTAGAAAATATTAGGGTGACACCCTAATATTTTCTAAAGTCTACAGGTGACGCCCTAGTATTTTCTAAGGTCTACTATGTTATATATATATTGAAATCTCGTTATCAAGTAAAATTTTCAATTTTATATAACATAGTAGACTTTAGAAAATAATAGTTTTTCAATCCATATGATATTAATGACAATTAAATATTTCATTCAATTTGAAAATGTTAGGTAAGTATTTTCATTAAAAATGTCGAAATAAACTTCAATATGCTAGAGTGAATAATTTATTTTACGAATACACAGATCTAGTTGTGTATGACCTGCCTAAGATAATGTCCAAAAGTAGAGAATTTCCTAGACCAAAACCTAATTTCTTGAATTTAATTAGTAATAGTTGAAAAGAAATTCACGGGTTGATATTGGGAAGCTTTTACACGAAAGAGAGGCTGGTGGGTGAAATATCCACAAAACTAAAGGAATGATAATGTGCTTTGCCCTACTTTCGTTGATTGGGCCGAAAAGCCCAGATGAAGATAGATGATCCTCGGCCTACATGAATAAGAGGTGAAATGGAGCATGGTCTAACAATTTTGAGAAAACTACAAGGCTTGGACCAAAATTTATACATAAAATAGCCTACCGTGAGAGAAGCCTTATTTTATTTATTCATTTGTAAAATAGTTAATCTTACCATTAGCCGAGATTAACTCTTTCTCTTTATTATTTTAAAGGTGCATTCTTCAATCCCGCAAGATACATTATAAATAATTTAATAATTTTTTAAAAAAATACTGACTTCAATATTTAAACTTACAAAATTAAAAAAAAAAAAACAATATCCTTGAACAAAGTCATTTTTTGACGTAGGACGAAGTCATTTTTTGACACCTTCTTGGATTGACCTATCTACCCTGTTAGTAATTGCCTATGATTTGAGGTTCCAACTTGATCCTGGTCTTATTTTATGAGGTGTGTCATTTGATTCTTCCTAGCAAATACAATGACTTATTCAACCGGTTAACTTTTGATTTAGTCTGCAAATGAGTTATTATTCTAGTGATAAATGAACTGGCTTTTATATAAATTTTTTATTAATATATAGAGTTTAAACTCTAAAATTGTAGTTGTAAAGAAGGATTAAACTTTGATGTTCTCGCTTCAAACATAATTAGTAGGTGAAAAAAATCTTTTTGACATAGACCTTCCTACCACCTCAACTTAGGAGTAAGCAAACGGTTCGGTTAATCGAAAACCAAACACAATCGGATCGAATTATGAAATATGGTTTGGTTTTGAATTGTAAATCTTACAATTTATAATCTAACCAAAAAACCAAAATTTATTTCGGTTTAGTTCGGTTTTTTATAAAAAAAAATCAATTCAAGCTGAAAACCGAGAAAATCGTAAAATTCCTTATCTATTTCTAATTTCTAAATCCCTAACCTAGTAACCCTAAGACCTCGAGTGACGTACTCGCTTTAGTCTCATCTCTCACTCTCTCTTTCGACTTTCTTAAGAATCTTAACACCGAAGCTCACTTTTTCGGTTCTTCTCATCGTCTCATTGGCGTCACTACTCACTACCTCCGTCTTCTTCCCAAACCTCCTTGGCTCCTTCGGCTTCATTCCCTTCTTCTTCTTCCCCACTCTCCACTCTAGTCGGTCCTCCGAGCTCCACCGATCCAGGTTTCCTCACCCGTCACCCCTCATAAGTCAAAAGTCATAACCCGATAACCCTTGTCATCTTTCTCGATCTCACGGAGTCACGGTGATCCTCATTAGTCACCGCCCTCCTCCTTGGCTTCTCCTACTCAAGCTCGCTCTTACCAGTTGCCTCTTCGTATCTTCTTCTTCTCGCGAGCTCTCCTTGTCTTCCAAGGTCGGTCTCTTTTATTTATTTTTTTTATTTTACCGAAAATAATAATGTATTGGCAAAAGAATGTATGGGTTGAATTCTTAATAACTTGTCTATACGGAAATCCATCTTGTTTTCCCCGATTTCCTTTCGTGTGGAGTGTGGTGATTGCTTGATTGGTGGTCTCTATTGTGTGGATGAGTTTTTTTGTGGTTGAATGTATGGGTCTCCGATTTTTGGCTTCATCTCCGAGTTAAATTATTGATATCTTGATCCCGTAACCCAAGTAAAATACCTAGCTTCATCCCTGCTCGCTATAGCATTACTTTGCTTGGAAGTATAACAACAAGAATGGCATTGGTCGAGGCAATGATAGTGCCTCATATTGCTCGCTCCATCTTGGAATCTAGTTTGGATCACTATCATAATTATTGATTACGCATCTATATATATTCAACCATATGTATCTCAAAACTATTCAACCTCATATTTCCTTTTCACTTTCTTCAATTTCAAGCCCTTGCTTTTTCGGTGCTTTCTTGCATAATTTCACTCTAGTGTGTGACGTGCATCCGGTTCTCGCTCTTCCTAGTGCCTTCGGTGCTTTTGCCTTCGCCTTATGCGGATGAAGTAATGGAAACATTTGGGTTTCTATGTTCAGGAAACTATGGCATAGAGAAATCTCTTTACGTTAGATGCAAAAACCATTTGTCTTCCGTCACTTTTGTTATGTCATATGGTTTCCACTACTTAATCTGGAAATATGATGTGTAGAAGGGGAAAAATCTCTTGCTCGCCATGATAGTGATACGGGATATTGGCGATCCGGCACTCGATTACAAGAAAATTAAGGATCACCCGAGGTTTGAATGTTGATAACAAATTTGCATGTGAGATTTTTTACGTGCTTCGTCGCATTCTCTTGGAGACTTGTGTTGTGCAAAAGCTGTTTGGGACTTTTTCCGTGCTTTCTCCCTCATGCTTGCCTTGCGAGGATTTATGTTTAGGTTATCTCGTCCATGTTAGTGTTGAATTCTTTGACACATGTATGGATCGTCCGATATGAATTAGTCCGTCGATGCATTATTGAGATTATGAGAATTGGCACATTGGTTTTTAGGATTTCTAAGTGTTGTTGTGTTCCAAGTATATTTAGAGTTGCCTATATGAAGCCTATGTATGACACTACAATACCATTGCGGCTTCGGACCTTTCGTTTGTTTTTTTTTTTTTTTCGATTAAGGTTCGAAAGGTATGGTGTTCAATAAAATCCTAACTACATGATTTTACTTGTCTCTACTTGCTTTTTCTTTTTTTGAAATTGCTCTTGTTTCCCACCTTTTTATTGTTTTACGAGATTACTTTTTTATTGTTTTTATAATCGTGGCAGCAAGAGTCGGCAGTATGAATATGATACTCGTTTTTAAGTTTTGAATTGCATAATAGGAATGCTTAATTAGATGCACTAGTTATATATATATATAGCAGCAAAAGTTTGATTAAAACCAAATTATTTTGTTACCGAATCGAAATAATTTGGTTACAAACCAAATCAATCGAGTTAATTTTGGTTTAGTTTTAATTTTTATTTTTTTTTAAATTCGGTTAACTGAAAACCGAACTGAATTAATCTTAATCGAACCGTTTAACTGTTTGCTCACTCCTATCTCAACTTGTCACCTACCCCAGTTATAGCCTCTACTTTCATCGCTATATATATGGTCTCCTTCTCAGAGATTTTGCATCCTTCTTTTCATCTTCATTTCTCAGAGCTATACTTTTGTATCTTTAACACCATTTTCACATTATAATTACGCTCTTCTTTTCCTGATTTTAACAGATATTTAAAGAGCGTCTGCTGTTTGTTTTTGAATTTCTGGGGTTCGAGTCGTGACTCTGCTAGACTATGTTGCTGAAAATGTCAATGCCATATTGCCATTCGTTATCTCAGTTTGCAAATTGAAGGCTTTATTTTTTTATTTTTTCGCATTTTTTAATTTATTAGGCGTCCTCTTGCAATTCTTTGGTATGTAGTTGCTTAATTATTTTTTTATTCAATATGATAAAATAAAACGCAACTGCAGTCTGCAAGACATTCTAAATGCAAGCCATCTTATTCTTCGTCGATGTTGTGGCTTTCGCAGCTGGGTGGATCATATGCTTAACAAGACTGGGTAAGTCTACTCCAATTTTTGCAGTTTTTTATTAAAACTGCTGCTTTTCAATTTTCGATTGTTCTATCAATTATGGAAATTAAAAGCAGCATTAAGCGTATTTAATTTATGCCATTGATTTGGAAACGAAGACAACGAATGACAATTCTGACGCAACGGACATTTCCAGCACCATAATCAAGCAGAGTCACAACTGCAACATCCTCCATCAAATGGACAAGGATTTATTGTTTTGAAAGGTTATTCTCATTCCAATGTCGAATATTGTGCGTTTTTGAAAATTTTCCAGCAGAGTCACAGCTACGGACATTTCCAGCACCATAATCAAGCAGAGTCACAAACATCCTCCCTCAAATGGACATTTCGAGCACCATAATCAAGCAGAGTCAGAGGCTACAGACATTTCCAGCACCATAATCAAGCAGAGTCACAAATACAACATCCTCCATCAAATGGACAAGGATTTATTGTTTTGAAAGGTTATTCTCATTCCAATGTCGAATATTGTGCGTTTTTGAAATTTTTTCAAGAAATGGATATGTTTTATTTTTATTTTTAAGATTCTAAGTTTTTTGATCTAGTTCTACCATGTAACAGTGATACTGCTTCTTCTCTGCGGAACTAAGTAACCAAAAAAGCTCTTTGTGATACTGCCTCTTATTTGTTCAGTATTTTCATGGCTTGCTTTGATTCCACTAATTTTTTTAGAAAATTAGATAAAATTGGTCATCTTTTAAGGCGAAGAGTTAATTTTCTATCTTTAATAGGTTTTTTACTTGTAAAATATTTCCAGTTTTCTAAAAAAAAAAAAAATTATAGTGAATAGAAAACACGTACTAATTAAAGTAGATTTTGTTTTCTTAAGAAAACGTGTTTTCTATATCTCTAACTCTCTATAAAACTAAAATAACACACACACATATATATTTAAAGTTGTTTTTTAAATTCTTCACTATGAAAATAATGGTCTTGTTTGGTTCATCTAGTTTTTTATGTGCATTTCTTCTGTTGTTTTCAATATAAGCCAAACAAGATTTTAATTAATACTCATGTTTAAATCTTTTTAGAGTAGGAAAAAAAAAAAAGAAATATAGACTAAAAAAACTATTTTTGGAAAACAAACACAAAACTTGTGGAGAAAAAAACTAAGAAAAAAAATGATTAACATTTAAGTTTTAAGGATTAAATAGAAAATTTTCAAACAAAAGGTACCAAATAGGGCTCATCTCACAGTGGTATTTTTAAAAATTTGTGGTTATTTTTCTCTGTGAACAAATTTTAGCTGTTAGGATTCAAAATAATGATTTAGATATCACAAATATCACACACACTCACTATATATATATATATATATATCATGTTACTTTTAATTTGAGGAGAAAATAAAACTTAACAAGGGGAGACCTTAATGCAAAAGGTCTTTCTTTAAAAGATTCTTGTGCGCATAAATGGCTTTGAGATGGAGAAGAAATTGCTGCTTTTGTGAGCTGAAAACGATAGCGAAAGAGACGCCCAGATATAAGCAAGAGAGGAGGACCGACAACTGCAGTAACATGACACTTGTTGCAAAGAGACGGTGAATAGGCCAATGGCATGGCTCCATCCTATTTAATTGGGTCAAGAAATAATACGACCCAAAAACCTAAATATATAGGTAATAAAATCTGTGGTTTTGTTTGTGTTTTTTTTACCATTAATCTTTGAGGTTTTTTTTTTTTTTTTTTTGTGATGAATATAAGTTTGCTCAAGGATTTGTGGTGGATTAAAGTACGAATCTACTTGTTTAAGTGGATTTCAAGTAATAGAGTTGTTGAATATGCTGATTGGAGTGGGTTTTATTACCCATAGTTTGAAATAGTGACCTTTGACCCGTAGTTTGAAATAACGGTCATTGACATAACGTAAGGGTCATTACACCTATTATCTTTATTCATCGCTATAAGATTTTAATGTCATTTCATACAAATAACAATAATAATAACTATTATTATTATTATTATTATTATTATATAACATCGTTATTGCTGCTATTTAATAGATATCGGCTACTATATTTATAAAAAAAAAAGAAAAAAAATATTAGAGATGAACAATATAGTTATAACCACGATGGATATGGATCACAACATCAACAATAAGATGATAATTATTATTATGACCCTCTATGACGATCTTTTTAGAGATAAATATTTTTTAATGTGTATTTTGAAATTGTAATGTATTGTAGTATTTTTTATATGATAATAAACTATTAGAAGTGTTATTAGATTTTTTTATAACAAATTCAACTATTGTTGTATGATATTAAACTATTAGAGATATTATTATCAATTTATTAAATTTAATTAGTAAAATAATTAAAAACATGTCACTATAAGAAATTCGCTAAATAGTAACGGATTTTTTCGTCACTATTTCTCAAAAATTCATCGCTAGATGGCATTAGCGACGAATTAGAGACAAAATCCAATCCATCGCTACAATGGTGGTCACTATTTGTTTAGTGATGAAATTTTTTTTTCATCGCTATTTTGTTGATATTGTGTTGCAAAATGGTTCGAATTAGTTGTCTCGACATCTCGTATCCGTCACTAATTATCGCTATTTTGCTTACTTTCATCACTAAATAGCGACGAATTATACTTGTCGTTAAATTTTAGTTGCTAATATATTTGCAATTCGGTAGCTATTTAGCAATCGAGCATTCATCTATCGCTAATTATCATCTCTATTTCATTGCTATTTTTTTAATGAATTGTGTTTTGTTGATAATTGTAACAACAAACAAATATAAACATCCGATTAATAGGCTATATTATTAAATAAAATTAAAATTGTATAAATTAAAATAAAACAAATAGATAGAAGCGTTAAAATGTAAATATATATATATATATATATATATTTTTAAAACAAGAAATTTAGTTCTCATTATTACAATCTCTTGCATCATCTTTCGACTGCTGATTGTTAAGTGGAACGGTTGACTACTGGGTTGTGGGAGGGTTAGCGGGAGGGACGAGAGGCGATTGGAGGTTTTCTAACAATCTATAACTCTCTTTAACCGAGTATGCATGCTTGTCAACTTTATAGACTATTACAATTAAATTAACTTAATTAACAAAAATATTATATTTAATGAACAAAATTACACTAGGAAGAAGTCGAATGTACCTAATTTGGACACACTTTTGGGACGAAGTAATACAATTAGCACTAAATTGGACTGCCACAATTCACAAGAAGAATGTTTGAGAATAGGACACAATCCGAAGTTTATATTGGTATCGTTCAAAACTACTGTAAAGCCGATGTTCAAGTCTCGATTTGCAATTGTTTTGAGCAAAAAATTATTCTTCTCCACTTTTTTTTTTTTAAAAAAAAAACTATGTTGCTATTGATCTTAATAGAACATACACGATTCTTCCTTCTTCTTCTTTTTTTATATTATGATCACAAACACAATAGCTAAGAGATAAAATAAAAAATATAAATTTCGAGTTGCTAAAACTATAAGCGCGAGTAGCTATGTGACTAAGACAATTCTAGAAACTTATGATTGAAACAACAAATTATCACAAAAAATTTCCTAAACATCCAACAAAATTTGGTAGCCTCTTTAAATTGCACTTTTTTCCAACTAACAAATACACCAAATCATCATACAAACACCACGAACACCAAGTCAATAATTATCTCGGATACTCTATTAAAATTAAAACACAAACTCTTCCTCCTAACTTCATCGCAGTATTGCACCAACCTTATTTAACCTCGACACTCGGAGGGATCGGATCGAGGGTCTCTAACCCCTCGAGTTTGATACACTACGACGTATCTCGACACACTTCAATAAATATATACGAAATAATTAAACTAATTAATTTCAATTCTAACCAAACTAAGATTAAAATAAAAATAAATTAACAAATATTATTATAAATAAAATTATAATTCAAACAATTAAACATAATTAACCTAATTAATTAATTAAAAATCATGTTAACTTTACTAATTCTAATTCTTACCAAATTAAATTTGAAATAACAATAAATGAACAAGTTTCAATATAAATAAAGTTATAATTCAACCAATTAAACAAAAGAAAATAATTAATTAATTAACTAAGCATAAATCAAATTAACTTAATTAATTCTAATTCTAACTAAATTAAATTTAAAATAACAATTCAATTAACTTAATTAAAAAAATATTACATTTAATTAAAAAATTTATTCTAATCCAACCAATTAAACATAATTAACCTAATTAATTAATTAATTAAACATAAATCAAATTAACTCAATTTATTCTAATTTATAACCAAATTAAATTTAAATTAACACTTAAATTAACTTAATTAACAACAATTTTACATTTAATTAAAAAATATTTATTTATTTATTTATTATAATCCAACCAATTAAACAAAATTTACCTAATTAATTAATTAAATAAAAATCAAATCAACTCAATTAATATTAATTCTAACCAAATTAAATGTTATATAAAAATTAATTAAAAATTTCAAATATAAATAAAGTTTTAATTCAACCTATTAAAAAAATTTAACCTAATTAAATAATTAAATAAATAAATATCAAATTAGCTTAATTAATTCTAATTTGAACTAAATTAAATTTAAATTAATTGTTAGCACCTAATTTTTGCTCTTTTTTATTTATTTATTTATTAGTTTATTATTATAAAAATACCAAAAGATAACAAAAAAATAAATAAATAAAATAAAAAGAAAAAAGAATTAGGATAGTTAGCTTAGAGAAGGGGTTTAATTGAAAAGTTGGAAACAATTAAAAGAAATTGAGGGCATAGAAGAAAAAATCAAAGTTCCAAACCTTTTTATTAAAATGAGGGGGATACAATTGGAACTAATTAAAATAAAAAGTCCCAATTATTGGCAAGAGAAGGCTTAAATTACAACACAAAAAAACAAGTTGAATCTAAATAAGTGCATGGAAGAGAATTAAGGACCAAAGTGGGTTTTTGCCAAAAAAAAAAAAAAAACCCTACACATATAAGATTGCCATGCATATCTTGAGAGAGGACTATTCATCGCCACCGGAAAAAAGAGACCCAGCCTACGCAATTTTTTCTCCCACACCGACTACTCCTCCCACACCGACTACTCCTCCCTCACGCCCATGCTCTCTTGCCCATTCTTGTCTCAACCAGCCTCCCTCTTGCATGCTCCCCTCACTCGCCAGCCTAACCCCACATGCGGTAACCCCTTTCTTCGGTCGGCCAACCCCACGCGTAGCGGCCCCTTTCTCGCCAACCTATTGCCGGCACCCTCAAAGCCATCGGACTCGACCTCTCTCACACCACAAATAGCCCCATAGCAGCCTTCTCTCATGCCACAAACAACCCGTCATAGAAACCCTCCGTCACGCCCCAAAACCAGCCCAAAACAGACCTAAAAAACCTATCAAAAACCCTCCCAAATTAGTTTTGAAATCGTTACGACAACCCTAAAAAAAAAAACCCTACAGAGCATCTCCTTTTGACCAGGCATTTCCCTCAACCAAAAAAGCCACTAAAACACGACCAAGAAAACTTTAAGATACCTTGAAAACGCCCTCAAAAGTAGTCTCAAAACCAGCCTCGAAATAGACCCAAAAGTTTTCCAAAAGCCCCCAAATCAGCTCTAAAATTGTCACCAATAGCCCCCAAAAACCTTTACAGAGTAACACCTTTGGGTAGACCCTTTGAACCATCAAAGCAGCCCTTAAAACACCTCTAAACCAGCTTCAAAACCACTCAATAAAGTCTCTAAAATACCCACTAAACGGAGACAAAAACCTCTCTCAAAATGCTCCTTGAACATTTTCCTTTTCTTGTGTTAATAAAAAGAAAGAAAAAAAAACTTTAAAAAGAAAAAGAAAGAAAAAAGATCTTGTTTGTCATTTGGTTGCTTGCTTTTATTTAATTTTTTTCACAGAAAACATATAAGATATGTATCACACGTTATCTACGAATAGTCGCTCTCCTTTTCGGCTAATCAAATAATCGATTATCATTGAGAACGAAGAGAATAAGACTAACTCCAAGCTAGACATCGGAACCACTTGGATTTTTGGGTAAAAATTCTAAAACTACTGTACTTTCAAAATATGATTTTTGTTTGGTTTACGATGGGTGATTAATTGATTGTGGCATGCAATATGGTTTTAAAGCTGCTGATGTGTTCAAAGTTATTTTGTATGTTTTTGTATCTATTTTCCATCTTTATTTTCGCCTTATTTTTATTTTTATTTTTTTATTTTTTTATACGCATCATGTTTGAAAATTAGCCGTCGGTCACTTTCCAATTATGTGATGAAGCCGTCGGAGGGCTTTAAAAATATTTTTGTTTATTTTTTTACATATAGGCCATCGATAGCTTCCCACTTATGTGACGGAGCCGTCGGAGGGATTCAAAATATTTTTGTTTATTTATCTCCATGTAAGTCGCCGATAGCTTCCCACTTATGTGACAAAGTCATCGAAAGACTTCAAAATATTTTTATTTATTTGTTTGTATATGTAAAAATAAGTTCTCACTTATGTGACGAAGCCGCCAACGACTTTTCAAAACAGTCATTTG